TGCTCTCTCTCCCTCTGTCCTGTCCCGTCCTCCTGCCTTTCCCCTTTGAAAGGAAAAGAAGAATCGAAGAAAATGGAGAAACACACTACCCTAAGGGTCAATGTACGTTGTTATCATGTACTTGGTCCCCAAAGCCCCTATATAGGACCTTTCAGGCCCAAGTAGTCCATATTTAGGTACATGGACCCTTACGGCTATGTAACACCGGGCGACAGGAAAGAACAACACAGCCTATAGCGCCGGCACCTTTGAGAGGTTTAGGTCTAAGGGCTTAGGGGCACTTTGACAGGTTTTGGGTCTAGGGTGTAGGGTTTAGGATTTAGGAAATCTGCAAACTTATTGCGGCTTCAGGTTCTTGAGGCTCCCAGACGTCTAGTATGTCACAGTAACATTAGGAGCCCTAATCATGCTATGTAAATAAGGAACCCTAATCATGCTATGCAGGGTTTCGGGCTGAAGGTTGAATAGAGTCCTTCGGGTTCCTAACTCCAGAAGAATGCTGTAAGTGGACCCTCCCCTGAACCCTAAAACCCTGAACCCTATAAACCCTAAACTTGGCAATTTTTCCCCTTATACAACAGTCCTGAATAGGGATTATAGACCCCTTTTATAATCCCATGAAAGACAGTTAGTTTAGGGGGATCCTTAAACCCTAAACACAGAACCCTCAACACGCAGTGAGGTACAAGAAGCAGGATGTCCACTTCCCGCAGGGATGGGACGTGATTGCCCACCGCGCCTCGGCGGACCTCACAGCGAGACGCCGTTTCAGAGCACATTGCGGCCAATTCCGTGAGCCTCCCCCCCTCCCCCTCCCCGCCCAAGAAAATAAAGTAAAAGTATCCCCTCAGTCTTTACCCTGAGTCCTGAATCTTGAACCCTTTAGCTCAGGGTTTAGGGTCTAGTACCTAGTGCTAAGCTGCTAAGCTGGGTTCTGGCCTGCGGGACTAGAGTTAGGGGTTTAGGGCTACGGGTGGGCCTTGAGCCCTGTCGACTTGGGGGATTCTCTAGAATTGATTTCCTTCTGGGGACCGTTCGGTAGCAGTGCCGTAGTGGAACGGGAAGCAGAAGGGGCCCGTTGAACTACCCACAGAAAGCCAGGTGATGCAGTGTCGGGGCAGCTGTGCATAGCGGTACACTACATCGAGGCCATGCTCGCGCTTCTTGTTGGCAGCGCTTAGTCGGCGGCCGCGGCGTTAACATTCAGGATGGAGAGTCCTCAAACCCTAACCACGATGCCGGATTGGTAGAGACGCTTCGGAGCGCAACGCGTAGACTGCCTCCATCTTGTGGATACATGTGAAGCAGGGTGTCTATTCATTACTGTTATTGGTGAGCGTCTTTAGGGGTTCCATTTATACAGGTATTTGGTGAGAGTATATGTTGAGTGTCGTTTGGGGGGATGCTAGTACTATAACCCCAATTCCAATAAAAATAATCCTCAAGGGCGCCCCCCCCCCCCACATACTATGTATGTGGCTTTACATATATGTTATGTACATAGATATAAATATAAATATAAATATAAATATAAATATAAGTATAAATATAAATATAAATATATATAGAGATGCAACCTATGAAAAAGGTATGGGGCGCCACATATATATATACATAAACATATATATATATACACATGTATATATATATATATAAAAGTTATTACATACCGTTTACGGTTTAGGTCAGTTTAGGTATATATATATATACATATATGTGCATGTGTTTTCGATACGAAGTACTAATTTCCACGCGGCTCGAGGGTTTCCGATTCGTGGAAGGCAAATGGCACTACGAGGCCTGTGGTGTGTCTTCGAGCTCGCCGCTTTTCGCAAGGCGAATCCGTCTGGGCGGATACAAGTCAAGCCGCTATTCGTTGAGAGGCAAGTCTTCTTTCTGATCTTGGCCTGCGCATTCATGACTGGCATCTTTGTGGCTGCACGGGAAGGCGTCAGCCAAGCTTATCAATCAGGAATGGTTGCAATTGCGATGTCACCCCTGGCGCTTATCGTGCACACCAACCGAAAGTTCATGAGGGAGGAGCGCCAGATCACCGAGGCGCTAGCGACCTTCGAGCTCAAAAACGCAGAGTGCCAACGTGAGGAAGATAAAGCCTTCCTCCTCGCGGCCATCAACGCCTGGTATGGCAGCGAAGAGGCTTTCACGGCCTATGTGCGCGGCCCCCTGACAAGCGAGCTATTGGCTGCCTCGACCCTGGACCTCCCCTTCGGCTATGGGCTGCTGGCAGCCGCGAGCCCTTGTTGCAGGATTGCCCCCGAGAGCCGAGAGCCCCAGCACAACCCCAAACCCAAACAAGCTGTTTTTTTTTTGATGGTGTAAAAAACGCCTTCAGCCCTACTAGGAGAGTGAGCTGAGTGTATGCACCCCGGAGACTAGCGCTGGCTTGCGGAGGGGCTGGAGTTGGAAGTTGGGTGGACCTCCGGGGCGGCACTAAGATCCTCAGGTTGAGGGTTCGACGAGCACCCCCTTCTTCCCCCCTCTGTGGCGCTAGTGCGACAGTGCCTCGGTGTATGATGTTATGTGTGCATTCCTTGGACTTTGGGTGCAACTCAATCGTGGGTTGGGGGTCGTTGCAGTCTTTGAGCATCTGGAGGTCTATTTCTGGAGAGGATTCACTTTTTCTGCGATACTTGGAAATAACAGGCCGTGGGGCCCCTTTTTGAATTCAACTATGTTTCGGAGCTCGGAGCCTACTTTTTGGCAGCAGGGCGATGCGGACCCGGCAGTTGCACAGACGGATGGTGGCAGTTTGGGATGGGATGGGAGACGTGAGCAGGGCGGGGGTAGGGTCTACCCCGGGCGCCGACGCTCTCGCTCTGGCCGCAGACACCGGCGGTGCCGGAGCCGTGGGGATAGCAGTTTACGTGACGACCGTGGGCGGCGTGGTAGAAGTGCGGGCGGTGCTCGCGGTGCGTACGCTACGCGGTAGCGGTGCGAGCGGTGCTCGCGTTGGTATGCTGCGTGGGCGCAGACTCGAGGACAACATCACAAGGCAGAGAAGCTGGATATTGGGAAGCACGTGGTGTACAACTCAAGACTCATGGATTGGGAAGGAAATGTCAGCCAAGTAAGGTCGCGAAGTGAATCAGTGGTTATTGATTGCGAGCCGGGATCAAGCCCCCCTCCAGCACCGTCGACGCCTGGTTCATCCGGCCTCTACCCGCGTGGTTTCGCCTCGTTTTTCTGCTGCAGCTTCACAGGGTCCTCATCGAGATGCTCGCGCAGGTAGAAGCGGTAAAGGACGTGAGCCTTTGGGTGGTCAGGGCGAGGGCAAATTAGCTCGCCATGGAGGTCCGCAGAGCGTTGCGTTGTCTCGTTCGTTTCGCGTTGCTGTTCCTTTTTGTTTTGTGGTTGTCGTGTCGTGTGTTGTTGGGGCTGGCCTCTTAAGCCTTGTGCCGGAGGGGCCGCCCTTTTGTTAGGCCAGGCTCGTGCCTCGGTCGATCCTCACCTCACCTCACCTCACCTCACCGCAAATGGCAACGCGGTGGCGACTACGGCTTTCGGTTGACGCGTGCAGCATGAAGAAGAAAAGGGTCGCAGCTACGATGGAGACCAAATGAGTCGAATGAATCGGCCGTGACGGTTGGTGCTCGCCCCCCCTTCATCGCATAGTACAGTGTAGACTCCTTAAGTATATACGTAATACAGTGTACTGCAGCACACGCACGCATATAATATAACATAGTATAATATATTAGAATAGAAGATAATATGATACAATCTAGTATAGTATAATATAATAGAATATGATATAATCTAGTATAATATAATATAGGATAAGATAAGCTAAGATAAGATAATATTATGTAACATAATATAATAAAATATGATATAATATCATATAATACAGTACAATACAATATAATATAATATAGTATAATGTAATATAAGTTAGCACATATATCATGTACATATACATATACATATGCATAGTATTTTGTTCCAACTAGTATACCGGCCCAGGCCACGCATGTTCGCAAGCCCGATCTGATGCGCAGCCATTTTGGCAAGAAGCAAGGCGTGGTAAGGCCAAAGCCTCTACGACATGGCAGCTGTGACCTATGTCGACAGCTCCCAGTCCGAGTTTTCCTACCACGCGCGGCCATTTCCTATGTGGGCCGTCAGCGTCTCCGAGGTGCTGCGGATGAGAGCTCCGGTCCAGCAGCATGAAGAGCTCCTCAGATCCGGTCAGGTGGTGTTGCATGAGCCAGAGTTTTACGTGCTCTTTGTCTCACATCAATGGTTGGGACTACACCATCCGGACCCGGACGGAAGACAGTTACAAGTGCTCCAGGAGGCGCTAGGCGGCTGCATCTCTGGAAGGCTGCTGAAGGAATCAGACTCGGTTTCAAGAACGCTGGTGGGGAACCGCCCAGCATCAAGCAATGAGCGTCGAGCTATGCGCAATGGCTACATTTGGCTGGATTGGTTCTGCATTCCACAGGACCCCTCCCAGCATGCGAACCAGCAACTAGCCATCAAATCTATTCCATCTTATGTTGATGCTTGCAGTTGCTTCATGGCATTGGTTCCGCCGCTTCTACACGCATCTGGGAAAACCTGTGATTACGAGTCCTGGCTGCGGAGGGGCTGGTGCTTAGCAGAGCTTTGGTGTACACAACTATCCAGCAGACAAAGCTTGCCCATGATTGCCATACGTGGTCCTGACGCTGCCGACTTTGTCCAAGCTGTAAATTGGGTCTACACCCCCCCACACGAGGGAGAGTTTAGCCTAGAAGCGGATCGAAGTCGCATCAGGGACATGCTGCGGGCATCGCTTGGAAGCAAAGAAGACTCAGCCTGGTCTTTGCAGGTATTTGAAAGGAAGGTTTCACGACTGGGCTGATGCTGATCCTTCCCACACGCAACGATCCGAAGAGGACTTTCTGTCCCATTTCGGATTCCCGAGCTTGGAAAAGGGCTTGAAAGTCAGAGACATCGGTGCTTTGGCTTGCGCCGTGCTCTCGGACAACATTCCGATGATCCAGAGGCTTGTACAAGCCAAGGCTTGCATGAGAACTCGTTGCAAGCCACTTATGAACGCAGATGTGCTGACTTGGACGCCCTTGCACCTAGCCGTGCAACGGGGCTCCCGTGCACTCCCCGTCATGGCAGAGCTCTTGCGATTGAAGGCAGATCCCAACTCAACCGATGCACTTGGCTTGCCACTGCTGGGCAATAGTCGAGATGCTGCCACAGTGGAGTTTTTGGTTCAGCACCATGCCGATGTGAATTTTCAAACTGGAGTGGCCAAGGTGTCCCCACTTGGTCTGAGTGCAGCCAGGGTGTCACCAGCCTCAGTTATCAGCAAATTACTGGAACTGCGCGCTGATGTCAACGGCAGCGAAGCCCGCGGGGGTCTTGGACATTCAGCTCTTGTGAACTTAACGTGGGAATCGAAGACCGTCCAACAAGGAGGCGTGCAATTGGCTGCGCTGCTTGTCCGCGCAAGAGCCGATGTCAACGCATCGGGGCGTGCGACAGGTCTCTTCCGTTGCCTTGAACTGGGCTTTCGGGCAGCGCTTTGCTTGGGCTCAAGAAGTTCATTCGCTTCCTTTCATGCAAATAGCAGTTCAGGCCCACTTGGCTACGCAGCTCTCGGCGGGCACGCCCCCATGGTCTCCCTCTTGCTTGCTTCCCGAGCAGATCCTGACCTTCCCAATTCGCGCGGCGTGACTCCAAGGCAGCTTGCAGATGCCCAGACCCAACTCCTGTTTGAGTGCATGGAGTGCTCTCCTGAGGAGCTGACAGATTCCAACACGCAACCCCTGTTTTGCAAAGACAACGCCAATGACTGGGATGAGCAACGTTGCTTTTCTATATGAAAGAGCATATAGAGACGCGATTCTCGGCCGGGTGGCCACGTATCAACAGCATACTCCGCGTAGGCCACGCGGCTACCAAACATGACTTCACGCGAAGGCCCGCATAGGACGTCAACTCACAATGACAAGAGCCCACACAATGAAATCAAAATGCTCAAAGTGCACGCAAGCCGTTGCGGATCAGTGGGGTCAGATCATGCAAGATCTGGGCCAACATTTTTGGTGTTCCGTCCTCCGAGGCCTTTGTGGCTGTGAGGCTCTGACGGATGTCAAGGCCATCCAGGCAGGAACAAATCCTGATGTTTGAAATCTTTTGTTGGTGCTCAAGGCAGCTGTACAGCCCAGACCCAACACAACCCTAAGCGATTTAGTCCCAAACCTGCCTCCTGCATGGGCGATAAGCCGAAGGGGCAGGATCCCCAGGTGTTTCAAAAACAGTTCCCACCATCGTTTTAGAAGGCTCTTAAAGCAAGTACGAGTCTGCTCTCGCCGCCTCTGAAGTTCGTGCAGTGCTTCGGATCTCCCAAGGGAGTGCTCAAAACCGGAGCCGCTTTGGGACTGGGTGGGTTAAGGTTTAGGGTTTAGGGTAAAGGGTTTATAGAAATTGTATAGCGTTTGGGTCCCAACAAGTTTGACCGAATCATTTTGACCGAAACGTTTTATTTTTTGGAACTGTTGTTTGGGGTTTTTGCGGGACTGCAGGGGTGGGGAGGGGGGTGGGGGGAGAGCCGGGGGGAGGGAGGGGGAGGGAGGGGGAGGGAGGGGGAGGGGGGGAGGGGGATGGGCCGATTCTGAGCTTCTTGAACCTTTTTGGACTTCCCCCGGACCATTTCTGAGCCTGGGAAGAGATCTGGGCGAGATTTGGGGGAAGAGATCTGGGTTGGGGGAAGAGATCTGGGGAGATCTGGAATTTGGGCAGAGATCTGGGAAGGAATATGGGGGGAGATCTGATGAAATCTGGGAGGGAGATTTGGGGAGAGATTTGGGGGAGG